ACAAAAATATAATTAAACGGCCCAACGTATCACCCTTACCAAAATTTGCTTTGCTCTAACTTCGGACGCGAGCTCGCGTGAGCAGCTGCATCCTATTCCAAAGGCTGCCGTTGATGCAACTCAGCTGCGGCTCGTTATTTACATACGTGCGTTTCTCTACGTAACGTGTATAGTACACTTGTAAGCATTGTTTTAAACCAGGAGTTTGGAGTGAATCACCTTCTTTTTCAAATATAGTTAATGAAGCGTTTGATTGATCGTGATTTTTTCAGATATTCATTGTTCATGGGGGAGTTATTGTTGCATGCATATGCCTACCCCATATTTGATACTCGTACACTGCTATATCGATTTTTTTCTTCACTGAGACAAAGCTTTTGTCCGAGATAATATTCACAAAGCATAAAGAAGCGTGTGAATGATTAAAATGTCGTTACAGCTTTGACTTTCATTATTCTTGGCTCTTGAAAAAGCCTGTAGCTTTTGGGCTCAGGCGTTTTGTCTTCAAAGGAATAACAAAAAACAATGTGACCCGGAAAAATAGATATGAATTTTCGATTAATAACATTTCAGAATTCATTTTTTTTTTAATTTTTTGTAATAATTTGATTTTTCACTGTAACAAGCCGTGTTCTAAATTGTACGTGTCTTTCATTTCTTAATATGTTTGAACTACATGACAACCTTGTAAACTACCATTTGATTGTATTATACAATTGAACGTTAATGCGTATCAATAAAGAAATTATTAGTAAATTAGGTGCAAGTCACAATGCAACACATACGATGTATCAAAATTTCAGATAAAATACATTCGAATGATCGGACTTCTAAATATCTCCATCGCATGAATTAAGCCAAAGGGACGAGTTCGAGAAAGGAGACGATGCTATGTAATGCAATATCCAAATGCTTGTAAAAAAATTGTTCATCAATCAAGTATCGCAATTATTAGCATATTATTGAGGTTTTTTTATGCACCCATACATAGTTACAAACAATCCTCGTAAGGGTTTGAAAACATCATAGAATCCAACTAACTCGTAACATGTTGTTTCATTTCACCCCAAAAGCTCAAACACAGCGTTTAATACTTATTTTTACTATTATTATCATTATCATCATTGAAAATTTCCGTAAAATTATAGTTTAGACCGTCAACGTCGCCCTAATTAAAATGGTTTAATTAAGCCTTATAAATTTAGTAACAAGAGTAGTAGACAATAACCATCAGCTCATCAGTCACGATCCCTTGACACTCCATTTTATATTGGTGTAAGCCTACAGTACAAGTTTCAGGGGTAATGAGGCAATACCAAATATTGGCACGTTGATATAATAGAAAAACAACATTTGACGATCAAGAAAGTTATGTTTAAGAAATTTGTTTAGAAAATGAAATTTTATTGCTAAAAATCTAGAAAATTCATGTATATTGATTAAATAATAATGTCATTAATCATACTCATTAAAAATATAAAAATAGAATATATACAATCTGTCAGTTTTTCAGAGATTGATGTGTTTTCAACAAAAGTCGTCACACCTCCAAGATGAGTTCAATTTTTTTTATATGGATATTTCATGAAGGTTGGAAACCAATTATATTCTTACTAAATGATTTCAAAGTTCGATTACTTCGCTCGATTACTCGATAAGTCGTTGTATCCAGACCCAATGATAATCGAAAAAAGTTTGTGGTGCTGTGTTCGAAAAACCATTTTAAGAATAAAGGTTTTTGAGTACTGAGAAAAATTTAGAAAGAACAATACAATTTTTCAATATTAATCATTATATTATTTTTTATTTAAAAGTACTTTTGAAGTACTTTAAACATATCTAGATAATCACAGAACTGTAAAATCTGTGATACAACTTTGAAAATCGAATAGTTTCAAGTTGTATAAAAATTATAATATTCTACAAAATTTTTTGTAGAACGCTTCAATTCACTTTCAGCGTAACTAAGCTTTTTATTAACTGTTGATAACTGTTTCTATTGACTATTGACCATTGATATTGATAAACATTAGAAAAGCAAATTTATAAACTGTTGTTTAAGCTAAAATTGAAACTGAAAATCATCCACTAGATACAAGAAAATGTTTTATGATACTAAGTATTTAAATTTAAGCTGGTTCTTCTTACACCATTTCCTAACAAAATAATTGCTCTCGAGATTTTAAAAGTTGACTATAAAAGACAGACCTTACAGAAATAGTGCTTCTTTTAAGATAACAGAGCAAGCAAGAGTAAACAGCGTCTACTCTCTCGCGGAAATTCGGTTGTTAGTGGTAAATTGAGGAAGGTATGAAGAGGAAAGTCTACCATCCAACCTTGGCCAAATTCCTTCTTGCTTGTTCTAAATGATTGTACAGCTTGATAATGAACTTACGTTCATCAGCTTTTAATGAGTTTACAGCGAATAATGCGTTTAATACGCAAATCTAATTGTAACCATTAGACGTGCTTTGCGATACAGTATTTATTGAAACTAAAGTGACATTACGTATGATTTAATTATTATTTTTATAGTAAACAGTTTAATCAAAATTAGTAAAATTTTTTAATTGGTGTTCACAAACAAAATTAAAAATGTTCTTAAAATAAAACAATATCCTGCAATTCAAGACAATATCCACAGCTCATAAAATTATTAATGCTGTGATGAAATGAAAGTATCTGTTGTAAAAATTTGAAACAAATAATAAGATTTTGTGAAGAAACTTGTATAAGATATATATATTTGGCCATTAATAATTAAACTTATACATACTAATAGACTTCTCAGGTCAACAGAAACATTGATTTTGGTGGCTTTACTGATGTACGTAAAATTTAATAACATTATTAGCATACTTGTTTGTTACGCTTCCAAACATGTTTTGTGACATTATTGTTTATTAGTTATCAGTACTCATTATACCGATCAGCAAATTTAAAAATTTCCAACATTACATAAAAATATTTCAACCAATATGAAAATTTGAAAATTAAACACAAAGCTTTTAAAAATGAAACTATTTTATTGAAGAGATATATCTTCAGTTTCTATGACGATCGATTCCCCTTTTACAAGTAAAGGAACTTTTGTATAATAGTCAATGTTAAAATCGAAAGTGAGATGACGGTGATGTTGATGATCATTACCGTAAAATTCGAAAATGTCTTTCGATTTTTCTGAAATTTCTGGTTCAACAATAATAACCACTGGATCTTTTCTGGTTTCCGATCTTTTTTGATAATTTCGATCATTTTCCTTGTCAGAATCTGTATCACTGAAATAGGAATGATCAGAATCATTTTCAATTATCCTTCGTGGTATATAATCTATGCCATTATGAGAATTCACGCCACCCTTATTTTGATCATTTAATTGGTCTGATTTCGTGTGTTGTTTATTGAGATGCATTTTGAGAGCAGATGAGTGTTGAAATTCTTCTTTGCATGTTTTGCATGAGTATATTCTGCTATCGCAATCATGGTCATGGTCCATATTGAATATTTAATAGAATTCACTGACAGAAAATGGACTTAATGTTCGTTGTTTTACGTATTCGCCTTTCTTTAACTTTGTAATGGACACAATGAGTTACAAAAATGATTAAAATATCAATGCCAGCGGTAGCACCTAGCCGGCAAAGTATAAAGAAAACAATTATAAAAAAATTATTTTCAAAAAAAATATGTTATTACTTCTGAGATAAATTTAGTACTAATATTAATACCATTCACATAATTCTTTCAGATGATTCGAGGGCAGCAAATACAATAACAAATTTAATGTTTACATTTTATTATAAGTTATACTTTGTTATTGTCTTTGAAAAATTAGATTATATTACGATAAACTATTAAATTATGTAGTATTTACTGTGAAAGTTTTATAAATTAAGTTTCAGAACTTTAAAAAAATAATTTTTCAAAAAATAGTAACTAATTTTAAACTCAAAATTGGTCAATTTTTCATGATTTTTATATATACGATGAAAATATGAATCAATAATGATACTTTCATATACATTTTTAGATTAAATTAAATTATTTTAATTACTTTGCTGTCACATATTTCGACCATAATGAATAGTATGGGAGAGTCATGCAACAAATTGAATTCCGTCTTTGACAAACAAACTTGAGAATAATAAACAACCGAGTTCGTTTTTTATACTAACGTCATGATGTTCTTATTCTTTCACGGGGTACACAGGTTTTATTCGATATTCCCCCTCAAAAATATGTGTCTTGACGGGTAAGGCTTTTCAATCCTACCGAATTGATTTTGCCAACTTATACTGTGTATGCACATCAAATAGAGTGTACGTTTTTGTTTGGCATTGCATTTGTGTATGCTCATGCCAAGCTTCGAACCCGCTTATGTCCTAAGATAGTATTTCACTTTTTTCGAGGCTCTGCCCATTGTATACGGTTCGCTATATCTCTACGAGTGTGCTCAAGCTGCTTACGTAATTGATGTAATAATTCTAAAGTATGTAATCAAGCTTCTTTTCGTCGTATATATTGTAAAAATGTTACTTCAATCATGAAAAATTTATCGAACATTTCTTATAGAGTTTAATTTTCATAGCTCGGATAGAGTTAAAACAGAATTTACTTAATTTCTTCCTAATTTTTAAACGAGATTTTAATCTTATTATTGATTATTATTTCATTAATAAATTATTTGATAATTTTTCGTAGAGATTTGATAAATATGGTGAAGTATATCAGGCTACATGTTATGACACGGATATTTAAAAAGATTTTACTAGTGGATCGGTTAAAAATGGTATCTTATAAAGTTAATAAGATTAACATTATTTTGCATGAATCAAAAAAGTTTGTATTTATGCATGCAAAATAGAAATACGATTTTTTTAAGTCTATCTCGTGCAGCTTCATCTAATGAAAAAATTGTTTTATCAGTTGCTACAATATGATTTTGGATAAGAACTGAGCTGTACAATGACAAGTGATCAAAAAAAGTTCTTACAAAATAATTTATTCATAACATCATTTATTAACTTGTATATGATAGATTTGAGGAATAAATATACAATTATTATGACATATATTTACACTTACAATTGTAATAATTTTTAAGAGGTTAAAATCTAACAAATATGTACCAAATACATAATACAGCGTTTACTTAACATCGGACTATAAAGTAGAATCTACTTTAATTTTTCTGAAAATATTTTTCAATTGTTCAGATACATTATAGAATAATTTTAAAATGTTAACTTTTCTATGATTACACTGTAATAATTTGCACGTAATATAATTGCCATTTACGTTTCCCTGAAAGTAATGGCCAAATTATTGGATTGTGCATTATTTGATTTTGGTATTAAAAATGGCGTCAAAGCTATTACGATTAACGCACTATACCATTCATTCATTAATCCGTATGGATTCATAAGATGTATGTAGAAGTATCCAAAGTAAACGTAAACTATCATAGAGATAACTATGCAATAAATTTGCTTCGTAGAGGGCTCACGAGGCCACTTTCGTACCTTTTCTTTTTTAGCTTCTGGACGATAAAAAGTTTGATTCGATAACACTATTTCTTCATCCTCCATATATGAGATGATTCTTTGACCACAATGAATGGGCATCAGTTCGGCAAAGGTTTCCTCTAACCTATACTTCATCGATTTTAAAATTATGCTTTTGGCCATGTGACCTTTTATAAAAGGACCGAGAAATTTAAATTTTCGATCGAAGGCTAATTTCCGAACCAGCTGATGGTAGTACGTGTCATGAAGAATATTGTATGTATCTTCGTAGTTCATTTTACAAATATCATACAACGAATATTGGCTGCTAATTTTTATTCTTTTAGCAAGTTTAATTTCTTTGTCGAGAATATAATTCTCTTTGTCTGGAAAAAAATAATTTATGTTTTCTTTTGGGGGATTGTTGACTTCATAAAATTGACACTTGTTGACGATATAATCTGTCGTTTCTCGACACGAGTGAAACTCCACACAATCCAATATTTTCTTATACATGTGCATGTCGTAAATATAAGATGGCCATTTTTCCAATGAATCGAATATCGATGTGTTTTTGAAGATTAAGTCAATATTGTACTTGATTTGCTTGTTATAACCTAGTGAAAAAATGTCGTCATTGATTATTATTATGTATTTTGCTATTGAAAAAAAAAAAAAATTAAAATGTTTATATGGCAAAATGTCTTACAGCCATGCAAGATGCCCTTCATTAGGTCGCAATTTTTATGCGAGAGAGATCCAAGCAAAAGATCCATCATCATCGGGTATGGAGTAAAGTCAACGAGTTCTGTTTTAGAAGATACCATCCTTAAAATTTGATCAATTGCTAGAACATTCATTGCAAATTCTGGCAAAAAGAGCGAATTAATTGGAAATTTGGTGAATCGTCTCAAGTGTCTGCGGGTGGCTTTATATTTCAAAAGAGTTTCTGTTATTTCCAAGTTGTAAGCACATAGTGCAGTCTGTAAAGCGTTTTTATTCCAGGGGCTTTTCATGTTAACATATATTCCTTTTTCCAAAATTAGTTTGATCATGTCAGATCCTATCTTATCGCCAAAGATCATGTATACAAAATTGCCATCGGGAGTGCACGAGCCAATTATTACATCAAATATATTTTGATGGTGATTGTTGAGTTCAGTTATTTGAAGTTCTTCTTGCCTTGTCAGCAACATTTCTAGGAGAGTCAATTGAATATGTCGAATGTGGTCCGTGTGACCGGCGGTGTATCGCTCGAAATGCTTATAATTAAATAAGTAGGCCAACGGCGTATCGCCGTGTTTGTCCTTTGCATTGATATCGCATTTAGATTCAATAAGAATTTTCGCAATGTCACACTTTTCAAAGTGAGGCGATCTTATTACCGTAGGAAATAAGTTATCAATAAGCAGATGCAAAGGTGTTTTGCCATCCACGTCTGCTAAATTCACGTCAGCTTTATGTTGTAATAGCAATCTTACAATGTTCTTTTGACCATATTTAACCGCTTTGTGCAGAGGCGTCTGTAGATTATCACAAGTATGGTTAACGTCGATACCCTTTTCTATGAAGCCAATCACCGAGTCCAATTCACCAAGTGCGCAAGCTATGTGAAAATGCGAGACTCCGTTCATATCGACGAAATTGACCGAAGGGTAAATTTGGAACAAAGAATCGAAGGGCGCATCCATGCCATTTTTAAATGCCACATGAATTGGCGACTCACTTCGTATCCGAAATTTCAATGGTGCTACTACTTCAAGAGCTGCTATATAATCAATTACAAAATATAATTTTTGTCTCAAAGCTTCGAGTAATATGAACTGAACTAGATAAGATTCTTCTGTCATCTTTTTTTTTATTTGCTGGGCTACTGATGCTTTAAAATTCATATCTTTATCACTTGTCTTTTCACGATTTATCGTATTAACAAGATTTTTTATTTTTGCCTCTTCCACGAACAGACTCTTCCACGCATTTCGCAGCCTCGAAAACATCTTGTGACAAAACGGTATTTTTCATAAAATTCACTTTAAATTTTTATAAACTAATTGTTTCTTAATATTTGTCAAATTTTTTTAAATAAAGATTTTCACCAAAATCCTAACTGTTCACTATGATCTGTAAATTTCTTCAAAGATCAGTGTGAACGCACGTAGACAAACTCATGATTGTAACTGTACGTATAAATAGGCAACCTACAAATTTGAATGTTGTCTGGTTGATTTGTTTACATTATAAATTAAAAGTAACTTACATATTTCCATTCATTTGTATGGGTATAGATTACTTTCCAATACTATACTTTTCAGTTTTAGCAATAATCATGATAAAAAATATATTTAACAAAATTTATAATTTTTAAAATATATTTTTAAAGAAAGTCATTATTCTATTCTCATATAGATATACTGTAATACCCAAAAATTTATTATGAGTTCATTATTACTAATTGCCAACCTGTACATAGTACTTAATTGGAAAAAGTAATTTTTTTAATGTAACAAAAACTATGGAATGCTAAATTATTTTGATTGATAATTAAAGTACACTCATTCTATCCGACTAACTCTATTCACATCGTTTTATTATTGATCGGAGAAAATACGATTAAAGTTATTGATTCTGTAAGTTAAACAATTCCATAAATGTATTTAAAGTCTAAAATATACATTAGAACATTCATGAACACTTTGGTAGCTGTAAATATATCAATCTTTATGTTCAAAGTATTTTCTCCTTTATTAGTTTAATTGATGGGAAGACATTGTCAGAGCAACGATGCGACCTTAAAAAGTAAAAATCGAAAGAGCCGAGGAAATTAAGGTACTCGCTTATGGAATTAGAATATACTCACTTGTCACAGAAATAGTTTAGTTTCGCGTATGTACTTGAATGACAGCATCCTGATTATACACCGTTGCATCTTTCTCTTGTTTCTAAGCTGTTGACAATTAAGTAATTATCTGAAACAGTGTGGTAGGTCTCTAACTTCCGTTTAAAACATTAATACACTCGTTTTAGAGTAGTTCATTATATAAAAATAGAATTGAGTTGAACATCGCTCGATCCTCTTTAAATAAGTCACCGTCAAAAAACAATCCTTAAGCTTTATCAACCATTTCAAAAATGAACATGAGTGAAAAATCTATTAAAAACCCTGCATCCAAAGATCTTTCTTTTTTTCGTCAAATCAAGTGGATAAACTTAAAATGATCTTGGTTCGTCTACTGCTTTTGTCGTTTTCTTTGATACGTCTTTACATTGCAAAAATTAAAACATAAAAAGAGTAAAAGGCGGGTTAAAAACTCGTAGGGGGTGAGCATTACATGATAAAAACAAACAGATTGAGTCTTGCTCGCATTCTGTTGGCAAAGTTATAGGCTACACCAAACCTACCTAAGTTTATTTATCGTTTCTATGTGTTTTTTTTTATTTATAAGTCAATGTTTATTGCTCCAATAAAAGTTGTTTTACAAGTAGTAATAAACAAGAATAAAAAATACTTTTACACGAAAATTTCGGTATGAACCAGAATGGTTCTGATGGACGCTGGCCGGCTAACAAATATGTGTATGCTACTTTGGTTTAAATGTTATTAAAGTATTACAAAAAATTTTATGATGCCTCTTCAAAAAATGAGTTTTAAAACTAAGAATTTGCTTACATGTTACTTTACAAGGAAAATATAGTAAGTAACTGATGAGGGATATCGCTTTTGCATACGAGAGTAGCTCACATGAATACTCCTCGCTCGTTGAACAATATTCAGCGAAAGGAACATAATTTTAAGTCATATTAATATATTATACAACGGGTATAAATATGTTTTTTCTGAAAAACTAGGGATGCAACACGAGTTTTGTTGAAAAAAACTTACAAACACAAGTTGCATACAATATTTTATAGCACAGGAGCTTAAAAGTACGGCAAAATTATATATTAAATTTCAGATCAGAATGAATTATTTCTTTTTTAAATGTTGTCAAAGAATATATTATCCACAAAAAGTTAACTCCACAAAGCACATACATTTAACATAATTTAAAAAATTGAAAACATAGGGTTGAAACATAATTTAAAGACAAGCAGCAGTCCCGAGAATTTCAAATTATGCGACTTCTACATTGAAGTATGTATTGTAATTTTATGTATTGTAGTTTTATGACATTCAGTGCTTAGCAAGCCAAACACTTTTTTAATGGTGCACTCGCCTTACGTCTGCATATTGTCAACTACCTATTAAAAATGAAAAATTACTCAATAGCGACGATTTTTAATAATTAATACAAGTCGGTCTAAGATTCGTCACAGAGCTTCCTTGTGGATGAAGCAATTCTTCGATTATATTGATTTATTGGTAGAAAATACCGATAGTAAGTGTTCAAACTGTCAATACTTCCTTTTATTTTCATAAAATGAATGTATCTTCATTTATAATTAGTACGCAACTAAATAATATTTGAACATTTCGTTCTGCAGGATTTTTTCAAAGGATTAAAAAAATTTTCCTCGGAACTTTAGTAACATCTATTATAAATCAAAGATGCCTTAGGGTGTGTTGGTATGGGCAATGCATATCCATAAAAGCAGCACGTACAAAAAAATCCATATGTGTTAATGAGTCGGAAAAAAACTGAAAAGGATTTACGGGAAATAATAAATATTAGTACAGCTTATGTAGATTCGATGGGTGTGTACATGTATTCAAGTATGTACTATGTAGTCGTGTTCGCTAACCTCACATCAAAAGGATCGATAATATTCTCTCTTTTAAAATGCAGTCAACGGGAGTTGGTGCTCTTTTGCTTCGAGAGATTTACTTGAAATATCTATACATCTAAGCATATTTTTATGCTCTTGCAAATGCAAAAGCTAGCTGCTTAATGAATTTCATAAATCGTGATCTTTATTTATTTATTTCGTAACGGTATATGAAGACAAAAAATTTTATTCGCAGAAGATGAAATGTGCTTGTTACACTCAGACAGTGTTCGTATATAGTAATTGTTGTCTTTTGAATTTCTGCGTGCGATTTTCTACCTCAATGCATATTGATACAGAGTCACTTTGCTCTCTTGAGTAAGTGACTCTGTGTATCGCATAATGAGTTACAATTTAATGATTGAAGTGGTTGATTAACTTCTTCTATCCAGTGTAAGGCTACAAATAACTCAATAAATTGAATCGGTCTATTTCGTCAAAGGAATCATTAATATCGGAGTGTACTTTTAACAAGAAATTTTTGTACCAATATACTGAAAAAAAATGTCTGTAGGAGTAAAGTTTCAACTTATTGAAAAAAACTGCACTATAAATCGTTTTAGTATATTTAGTTATCAAAAATTCAAAAAAATGTCATTTACCTATTACTAACGGTGATGAATAGATTTTGGTATATTATATTATGCTAAAATAATATTAGATAAAATGAGTAAATCACATAATTGAACTTGAAAAAATACGCAAATGTCAAAAATATAATTTCTGTTTCTTGCTGTAAACTATCACTTCAGCGCTTACCATTGCTAAACTCATGTCGGCTTCTAAATGTTAGTGTATTGTTACATAGCTGGTTGTAACATTTCCTGGCATATAGTTGCAGAATGTACAGCAAGCTGTAAGAATGTTAGGTATTCAGATATAAGTTGGATTTACAGCAATGAAATTAGCTATGAATGCTATGTAATTATACCCGTATTGCAGAATATAAAATACCTGTAAAAAAACAAAGCCAAATGATAATTAAATTTTTACAATAAAAGTCATCAAACTTCATTAGAACTTGATCAACGTTTTTATTGGCTTTTATGTTCAGCAACCGAAGATGTCACGATTTTTCGTAAAATTAACATATTGAATAAATAATTTTCTTCAAGTAACAAAGCACCTCGTTGTTCCCGATAAAATCTCATAGCTTTAAGGACTATAAAGAGACAAATCGTTTTCTCTAGTTTTTAAAGAAAATCGGCTATGTAATTTTAAGACTGCGTGAAGATGGATATAATTTATAGACTGCGTGCATAAGCAGTCACATAATGTGCTTTCTTTTAGAGTAATCGATTATAAGAACAGAAGAAAAAGATATACGTACATTACATGTCAACGACACCGTGTAATACTTGATACACGGCAGCTCAGCTCTGACAATGCGTTATCTGTTATACGTAGGTCTTTTCCTGTCAAAGGACACGTATGTGCGAATGCAAGTAGACTTTGTAGGTGTTTACACTTTGTTATTTATTTATATTTTTTACAACTCTTGTATTTTATTTTCAAATATCTGAGTTACGGATAAAATAATATTCTACAAATACGATTGCGTATTGCATTTCATAAATGCGTAATTCATACATGCATGAATGTCAGTATTACATTGATATTGATATTGTTAGATATTGGAGTTGCACATATAATTTACCCTTGTTTGTTTTCTTTCACGTGTTGACGCTTTCCAAATACGAGCTCTGTTATTATACAGCAATTATTTTCATTGGTATACATTTACCTGAATCCAATAATAAATACCGATAAAGTACATATTTGCTTTGATTTGAACACATATAGCGAAATTTATTTACATTTCAAAGTGTTTTTAATTAATCTGTGCGTAAAACAACTCTTCGCCTGTATGCATTGAAGCTATTTGAACATTAATTTTGCATTATGATAATTAATAATATTCGATTGAACTAAAGGTAGTTTTATTATGATTGATAAATTGATATGCAGAGGCGCATGCATTGGGTGCAAATTTTATGTAGATGTGAATGCATATTTGAGCAAAAAATTTTTTTTTTAATATTATCCAAACCCTTGTACAAAATTGAATTTGTTCCGTATAATCAGAATAATCAATATGCTTAAAAGCAAAAGGAATATTCAATAGTGTCAGCGTAAATGAGTGTCTATTATATGGTTTCGAAAATAATTCCAAGTACTTACAATGCCTGTTCAGTAAATGAAAAATTCTATTATTATCTGGCAATAATTAAAATGAAACTTACAAAAATTAGCGACTTAAGCGGGGATAAAATAAGACTAAGAAACTTGATTCTCTGCAATTTTCTACTGAATTTTCAGCTATGATAGAGTATTACTCATATTCAATTATTATCATTTCCTTCAGAAAATTTTATTAATAAACCGATGCGGGAATATCT